TCTGTCCAGGCAAAAGGTCGGCGACGCAAGCCATGGATCACCGCAGATATCGTCCATCTCTCCCGGAAAAAGAAACGTGCTTATCACAAAGCGATTTCTAATATATACAACATAATAGATCATTGTAGGAGATATTTCAAATACTGAACAAGGATATGAATAGACTTTATAATTTAAATTCGGCCCGTGATCCTAACAGATTCTGGTTTTTCGTGAACTCTCAAAGAAAGAAATCTAATGTATCATCCTTTACAAACAATGATGAACAGATCGAATCTGTATCAATGATTGCTCAGGCTTTTAAGAACCATTTTGTAGGAAACTTTTCTGCGCTACAGTCAGAAACATGGAATGACGATTATGAGTCTTGCGTGTCCCATTTTCTAATGACCCCTCTGAAAGGTATTGAGATAAGCGAGGGAGATGTTATTAGGTGTATAGTAAGATTGAAAGTTAACAAGCCCCCTGGCCCTGATGGCATCTCCCCGGACCTAGACTTTTTCAAACTTGCCGACGTTGCTATCACTCCGATTCTAACGAAAATTTTCAATTTAAGTCTGATAATAATTGGTTCAGTAACCAGGTCTTACTTGACTCCGCTCCACAAGAGCGGTGACCGTAACCGGATTAAAAATTATCGGCCAATATTGATTTGCTCAATACCTTGTAAAATGCTTGAACGCCTAATTGTGGTTGAGCTTCCTAAGTCATTCACAAAGTTACAAGATCATTCCTGATTCCCAACACGGTGTCCTCCCGAAGTGGCCATGTACAACACAAGCTGCTACCCTCTTTTCCAGCTGGACAAAATCTCTGGACCAGTCCAAGCCGCCAAGAGATGATGCAATTTCTTGGACTGATCCAAGGTAAATCATTTCACACTTATCCAGAATCTGCACAATATGGCGTTTGCGGCGTTGATGGATACCTTCTTTCCTCTCAGATCGACAAAATTGTGTCTTGTTTAAAGGGGTAAAATCCTGGCGTGGATCCAGGATTTCTTAGGGGTGGGGGCCCAAATTTGAAATCAATTTGAAATTTAGTGTGCTGAAATTTGAAAATCGTGCCGGCCAATATTTTGCCCAGTTGGGGGAGGGGGGGGGGGGGTAGTGAGCACTAATGGTTTTTTGGGGCCCTCGAAAATGTGAAAATCCGCACCCCCCTCTTCCCCACTTGAGCGCCAGGGGGGGGGGGGGCATCTAAAAAAAAAAGGTAAAATTAACGTGTTTTTACACGTTTTTTTTCCCGGGGGGGGGGGGAGGGCCCGGGTCCCCCTCCCTCCGGGACTACTGAAAGTGACTTCAGCTGATTTCTCGATAGTCTTTGCAATCTTGTTTTATTTCGCTTTATAATAACAAATCACACCGTAGTCAACATGCGTTTAAAATTTTACCAAAAAAAATCTTCTATTTAATTGTAAATGTTCAGTTACTTACTAAAAATATTTCAGAGATTAAAATAATTGAAAACACAACCACTTATTAAACATACCCGTATGATACTAGTGAATTAGTAATCTATACCAATCTACCAATTACATCATGACACATTTTATGTAAGCTTTCGATGGACAAAAATGCCTCTCGACGACCCTAAAATCTTGCCGTGTTACTTAGCATCAACTAACATATTTTATTGCATCTAAACAATATTGAACCAAAGGGTTCACTAAAATTATTTCAGAGATTGATAAAATTGAAAACACAACCAATGACTGAGCATCCCCGCATGTTGTGCTAGACATTTTATTTCCTTAGAATTAGTATAGCAAATGTACGAATAACATAATTTCATAATTGTATTTTAGGAAAGCTTTTGACGGACAAAAATATATATTGACGACCTTAAAATTTTGCCTTCTGACCCAGCATCTTCTAAGGTATGATATTTATAATAGTAATAATAATATCAGTAATGATAATGATGATATTAATATAAATAAGGATAATAATATTATCAATTATAATAATGAACATGATAACAATGATTATAATGATAATACAAATAAAAAACATTTATTTAACAAAACAGTTTAGAATGAACGTTCATAAAGCAGATATATACAAAGCGCTTCCGAAAACATGAACATTACAAATCACAAGAGATGGGATAGACCGTATAGAGATTTACAAAAAGCATTTGCATCAAACGTAGTACAGGTAACTGCAAGAGGCACATAGCAGCTGATAAAAATAACTAAAGGAATTAAAAATATGAAAGAACAAAAAGAACAGTGAATTTAATCCTGGTGAGCGGGCTTTAACAAAATTAATTTTATTGTAAGATATTTTTGAGGGGTCTAGTGAATCCGCATCCTTTATGAACTAGGAAGATTGTTCCAGGCTTTTGATTGCTCTGAGGTATTTATATTTAACTTTATCTAACAATATTCAACTGATAATATGTAATGGTAAATATAAAGTAAAAATTCAATATCTAAAATGGATGTTCTTTCTTCTGTCTAATTCTGTTTACGAATCAACGCAACAAAAGATGTATCATTCATTAACCCAGAACATAAAACTACCAATTTCCTCTAACATATCATTTGATTGTAAATCGCCAGTGTCAGAGAAAATCAATGCCCTCGACGAAGATATACCGTAACTGATATGAAACGAAAGTTTGTAAATTTGAAGTTCGTACACATCGCTTGGCTCAAATAATTCATGGACACAACTAAGATAACATCCTTCAGTTAACGTTTTGAAATACCAAGGGTTTCCACACTAAATCTACAATCCAAAATCTTGTTCACGGACAAGTCATACATAATATGGGTAAACATCTCCCCCTTCTTTACAGAAAATTCTCGATCTACCTTTCGGCTGAAAATATATAGGCCTACTATAACATTTCCCACATTTGTCAACTCCAAAGATTGGGGGCATAGGGCTTCCTGATGATAACAAAATAATATATGTCAGTAATATTTGTGATTTAAAGATACCAATCATGAGTAGTATTAAAAAAACACCGACTTCCAATTTTGTATGCAGCACATTTGACGAGCAGCGAGGGTTATCTATATTGCATGAAGTTAGTAATTTTTACTGTAAAGCAATTCTCTCAATGCTTTCGTAAATTTGTTATATAGGAAAGACATGCGGATTAAACCGTAGAGAAATGTAGTAAGAAATTATATTAATTGTATAAATTATGCAGCATTATAAAACGAGAATTGAAAAAAAATACTTTACACTTTTTTGTTACAAGAGAACTATGTTGCATTTATGACACGAGACATAATCATTACCAATTTTTCATAGGGTAAGACATCATTCGTTTAGCGTTAGATCAACTTTACCCTCAACAAAGTATCATCACTTATTCCAAACAATATAATTCTACCATATGTCATTGTCCCAGCCTGGTCTCCTACCCTTAAAACGATGAAAACGATCACATCACCATTACCATTAAAACGATCATATCACCATTACCCTTAAACGATGAATTATCACCATTACCCTTAAAACGATGAAATACATTATCACCATTACCCTTAAAACGATGAAATACATTATGACCATTACCCTTAAAACGATGAAATACATTATCACGATTACCCTTAAAACGATGAAATACATTATCACCATTACCCTTAAAACGATGAAATACATTATGACCATTACCCTTAAAACGATGAAATACATTATATCACCATTACCCTTAAAACGATGAAATACATCATATCACCATTACCCTTAAAACGATGAAATCCATCATATCACCATTGCCCTTAAAACGATGAAATACATTATATCACCATTGCCCTTAAAACGATGAAATACATCATATCACCATTACCCTTAAAACGATGAAATACATTATATCACCATAACCCTTAAAACGATGAAATCCATCATATCACCATTACCCTTAAAACGATGAAATACATTATATCACCATTACCCTTAAAACGATGAAATACATCATATCACCGTTACCCTTAAAACGATGAAATCCATGATATCACCATTATCCTTAAAACGATGAAATACATCATATCACCATTACCCTTAAAAACGATGAAATACATCATAATTATCACCATTACCCTTAAAACGATGAAATACATCATATCACCACTACCCTTAAAACGATGAAATCCATTAATAACCACCATTACCCTTAAAATGATATTATCACCATTACCCTTAAAACGATGAAATCCATCATATCACCATTACCCTTAAAACGATGAAATACATTATCACCATTACCCTTAAAACGATGAAATACATTATGACCATTACCCTTAAAACGATGAAATCCATCATATCACCATTACCCTTAAAACGATGAAATACATTATGACCATTACCCTTAAAACGATGAAATACATCATATCACCATTACCCTTAAAACGATGAAATACATCAAATCACCATTACCCTTAAAACGATGAAATCCATCATATCACCATTCATCATTTTTAGACTAAAAGAACGATCGAGTCTACTCTGACATCTGCAATTCACCCTATAACCCTAAGATTAGTGAAAGTGACAGGTGGAGGGGGGGGGCTTGGGTTTAGAATTTATGGTGCTTCATATACGTGCGTGTGTGGGTTACTCTGATCTATAAAACACGGTGCACGAAGGCGGTATAACATGCGCCTAGAAACGATAAATATCATCGCTTTAAGGGCAATGGTGATATGATGTATTTGATCGCAGAGAGCAGTTTGCATTTTCCGCAATTCCAATATCCATCTCAGGTGATGTGGGGAGAAAAATATTTTCTTTTTGGACAGTCATATTTATTGCAACCATGTTAAGTCGCCTCTACTTCGCAGATGCTACCAAAGGCGTCGCTAGTGGTGGCGTGACCACATTAAAAATGTCAATAATTATTGTTGGGAATATTTTACCATTTTGACGGCAAATTCAGAGATTTGAAAACCTATATTTCTACAACAGTTACTGTACTCTAATTTTGCTTGATGAAAAAAGGGCATTTTAATTAGTCAGTAAAATGGAACGCCCCTAGTTCGGTATGGGACATAATGCAACGCTGATAGGCCCTGTATTCAGATCTGATCTATAACTTGGACGCTTTCGAAGTGGACGGAATGAGAGCAGAGTTGTTGAACCGTCGAAGGCTACAAGGACTGATGTCATGGCTTGGTGTCTTCCCGAGTGCCAGTTGGCATAGAATCTTACCAACCACTGGAGCCAATTTGAATCCGTGCCCTTTCGACGTTCAAGATAGATAAAGGTAGCGAAAAGGAAATAAGAATGAAGTCTCAGACTGTTGTACTTGAATCAAAACATACACGTGCGACATTATGTAGATGTTCCATGATTTCTGATGAATCTGTATTAGTCTAAATTATTTGAAATGATCAACGCCGGTTACACAACCCAATAAATGATCCTGATCATTGCTCCGTACCGGTGGTTTATTATCTCCTACACTAACCGAATTCATAACTTCAACCATGGACCTAACATTGTACTAACCCTAAACCTTTCCTGAAACCCAAAATGCAACCCTAATTCTAAACCTATAAATACTTTTGACAAAAGAGCACATTAAAAAAGAAAAAAAAATGTCCCGAAAATTAAAAAATTTGACACATCGCGATGCATCGTTCCGTAAGGGGGGGGGGGGGGGGGGGGTAAGGTCACCTTTTTGGGGCCACCCATTACCACAATTTTTTATGTTTTTTTTTTTTGTTTTGTTATTAAATTTTTTTTTGAGGGGGGTTCGACCCCCAACCCCCCTACCCCTTGCGTACGCCTGGAGCCGACCGTGTATTTTTTTGTTTGTTTACACATGCATGCAGACAGAGAGAGAGAGAGAGAGAGAGGGAGAGAGAGAGGGGAGAGAGAGAGAGAGAGAGAGAGAGGTGCGGGGGGGGGGGGGTGAGAAGAAGAAGAAAAAAGAACTTCCACAGGAGCTTCATCTTGTTGTCACGTACAAAAACGAATTAAAATATCTGACGAAAAAGTTTTATGGGTTTTACAAATCTATTTATTTTTTAAATTTTATAAACGGGTCTTTTTTAAGCACAGCTTAAAGCACCACTGCACTACTGATAGCTACTTGCGCCCTCTATACAGCAAACAATGCCTAATCAGTGACCGCTGGTTCCCCATGATCCCCTTTTTCTTATGTTAATTGAGAGCTGATTTGTTAAGATAACCACCTGTCAGTGACCATGCTGGGTGGTCTAATCTCTCCTGGCCAAACTAGTACACACGGGCTTAAAAACCACAAATATTTAGTGGAATCTAGGCGTGAAGTCACGTATAATGATGTGGTATTGTGTAGTTTAGTCAACAACAAAACACGGTTGAAAACCCCCCAATTATTTAGCGGAGTCTGGGCGTGAAGAATGAAGAATCAGCGAACGAACCGACCCATTTGTATAAATTGCGAACGAACCGGCCCATTTTCATAAATTGCAATCAAAGGAACCATCCTTCACCTATAGCAATTATGCTCAGTGAACTGTAACGGACGCCACACTTGGATAATAAAATAACAATATCGTGAGTTGTAGCTGTAGCTCCTTTGTCGGGTGCTTAGTGATTAACGTCGGTTACTGACCTACATACAATAATGCAATTTTGACTATATACAATAATACTATAACATACCAAGCAATGAATAACAACTAGTTTATCACTAGGCAAACGTGTGCTATATTCGAGTGCATATTGGCGTATCGGTATTCGGTATTCAGTACAGCAAACAGGGTGACGTTTTAAACTGCCTACTTTAACAACATTTTTCATAAACTTGGATGAATGTTGCCGATATAAACACATAGAACTCTCTGTTTCTCCCTCACTCACTCACACGCACACAAACAGGAGCAAACTTATTACAAACACGAAACATTGTTCGACGAGGCAGTGATATAACAACATGGAAAAAGTGAAACAAACAGGCCTACATTTACGACAACTATATACACAATTTACCTGACATTCCACAACCAATGATGATATTGGAGTGCAACGGATGTCTGTCAAGAATTAGCTCATTATCCGGTGTTCTCTGAAAAGGAAAAGTAGAACAATGTGCAAAAGAATCATAAAATAGTACACCAACCTAATAATTCGATTTTTTTCTCTGTTAAAGTCAGTTAAAGGCTCTGTTAAAGTCCTATCAAGATTAATATCTGTATCGGGAGGTATTGCCCTCGGAATAAATTGTTGTCCAATGCCTATATAATTGTCATGTAGGCACTCCTTAAAGGGCCGTTGGGAGCTGTAGCCACCCCCCTTTTTTTTAGAGTTAGCTTAACCGGGGATAATAATTTCTTTTTCTTTTTCCGAAGAATTTTTTTATTTTATCATTCTTGAGCAAGAACAAAACAATAGCGTTTGCGTTTGATAGAAAGAACCCGCTCAACTTCATAAAATCATTTAAGCATTTTCTTAAAAGAATTCAAAGATAGCCGTTCCATTTTGCATTTCGCAAAGACTATATATTGTTTTGCATATAAAATGACAAAATTAAAGATAGATTGCGTGCCATCTGGGAAACCAAACAAAAATATAAGCCAATAACAATAGTTGTCGCCATGTAAATTGCTTTCATTGCGGGTTCAATTTCAGCCATACATCAATCAATTGAGTTTATTTGGATGTTTTGTAACCACTTAATTGGTTTGTATACCTGTGACCAGCCTCGGGTATCAAACTGAGGATCTTATTCACAGTGTCAATCACCTCCAAGTATAAGTAAATCATCTTTGTGCTTAATACATTTTATCCAGTCGAACATTCTTTTTGTAAAACAACTCTTTTTTCTGATTTTACAGTCGGAGCATATACAATACAAAGTACATCTTCCTTCTGTTTCTAAATCTAACAGCAACAGCTCTTCCATCAAAATGTACAAAACTTTTAATTTTTCTATATCATTCTTTATCCTGATTAGAATTACAACGCCTTTATAGAGTGTAAGTTCATGGCTTAAGAAAAGAAAGTTCGCCACATTTCTGATTTAATGATGTTTCTAGTTCAGAAGTTAAACAAATTTCTTGCAATATAATGTAAATAAATTAGAATTAGCTATGCCAATAATGTGAAGATATTTGTTGACCTTAGTAGTCGATGTAAAATTCTGCACTGAAATAACGAAGTTTCGTAGAAAGGAAACATTTTAAAGAAATAGTGTAAAGTTTCTTCCAGTCTTGAACAGGTTCAGTTAAAATTGTAGTCCATTTCATTTCCGAAATCGGAACTTAAGGATCTTTGCAACAGGAATTTGATGAACATATTTGCATACTTTGAAACCTTCTTTAAGTTATGCAATAATTCTTCTTGGAGTGTCTTGCTTCAGCTTGGTATACTGTAGGATACTATTTTTTCATTCTTTTGGAAGTGCAGAGATTAATGAGTAGAAGTAAAAAAAAAAAAAAAAATGACATTGAACTTTATATTTTTAAACAAATGTAATATGAGAATAAAATTTACCATGCTCATCTAACAAATGTCTTATACAAGTGATTCCAGTATTTATCCAATAAATACAACATTACCATCTATTCTTATTAGAGGGGGATTATAATGCTATAGGTCAGCCCCCACACACACATCCAAACACGACTCGGTTACATATCGCTTAAAAGCATTACAAAAAATGAAAATAAAAGTAAAGACAACAACTTTCATTACAGTAACTGCCTTACCGTATACATGCATGTGTTTCGACTATAGCTGGAGTACTGTGTAGTAGTGGGAAGCGTTTCCTGACGTAATTACTGACTTTCTCGATGTCCACTGATGTTCATTAACCATACTGGAATCTCGCTCATCGGGATCAACCGTACCTACTCCACCATGGTAGTTGATCTAAAGAAACAAAGGAACAATGATAGATGAATGAATAGATAAATGAATAGATATAAAGAAATTCATGAACAAATACAAATGAATAAACTTAATTAATACATAGATAATCTAAAATAATATTATATAAATACACGGTCGCAATGACTTAAGTTCCTTTTTTGTCACCCTTTAGCAAAAAAAAAAATCGAAAGGGGGGGGGGTTCTCCAAAACACAGACATAAAAAAAATGGAGGGGGGTTTTATGAGGTTAATCCTAATTACTGACTTAAGGACGTAGTCCCCTATTTAATAAGCATAGTAGCATACACATGCTTTAGCAGTCACGCAACACAAAAACTCGCCAATTATTATTCAATTACAATCTGAGAATGTAAACTATTATCTAATCTATTAGGAATAAATAATTGTCAAAATCATTCCGTAAATTAGGGTAAATTTTGTTTATCCCACCTTTGTGACCAACAGTGTAGATATATATATATATAATATATATTTTACTAAAGGCGTCATTAGAGGGACATTTGGAGTGAAAAAAATGAGTCATTAAGTAGACATTGTCATTAGAAGGACAATATGGTGTCCTCTTAACGTTTTTTACGTTTTATTTCTCATAGAAGCCCAATTTGTTTATACATCTCTCTATACATATGTAATTCCACTAAAGGTGTCATTGGAGTGACATTTTGAGTGAAAAATGAGTCATTAAGTAGACATTAGGGTTAGGGTTAGTGTAAGGATTAGGGTTAGGGTTAGGGTTAGGGTTAGGTTTAGAGTTAGGGTTAGGGTGGGTTAGGATTTTTATGATGTCCGCTTAATGTACCATGTAGGGTTATATATATATATATATATATATATAATATATATATATATATATATAAACCTAAACCTAACCCTAACCCTAACCCTAACCCTAACCCTAATGTCTACTTAATGACTCATTTTTTCACTCCCAATGTCCTTCCAATGACGCCTTTATAAATTACATATATAGAGAGAGATATATAACAAAATTGGGCCTTCCACAACAAATAAAACGTAAAAAACGTTAAGAGGACACCAAATTGTCCTCCTAATCAAATGACTCATTTTTCACTCCAAATGTCCCTCTAATGACGCGTTTAGTAAATTATAATATATATAGCAAACAACTAAATTATTCACACCCCATGTAAATTTAATATTTGTTGTATTTTATTGTAAATCAACAATGGAAGTGGCCTGATTTTATTAGGGCCTTTGTTGAATACTATTAGATGTAAGTTCTGTGTCATATTCTCAATTAAGAAACATAAATCGGAACAAATATTTTGTGCACATACTTATCATTACAAAACTTGTTAAGGGTTTGAATAATTTAGTTGTTAACTGTATATATATATATATATTATATATATATATATATATATATATATATATATATATATATATATATTTGACGTAAACTGGACATTTTACCTTCATCATGCCTTGATAACTAACAGAAGTTAGACCGTAGGAAATGTTTCAGCCCTAGCCCAACGTCAACGAAACATGGGCCAATCATCGTACGCGCCCGGGGTCTTTGGCTGCCAATATAACACGTTTATCCGCAATGCCTAAGTAAAATGAGGAAGGAGAGAGAGAGAGAGAGAGAAAGAGAGAAGTATGTGTGTGCGTGCGTGTTTGTGTGTGTGTGTATGTATGAGAGAGAGAGAGAGAAGAGAGAGAGAGAGGGGAGAGGACAAAGGAGTAAGAAAGAGAGAAGACGAGCCCAGAGAGAGTGTGTAATGTGTTTCGTGTGTGTGAAAGAGAGATGTGTGAGGGAGAGAGTGTGTGAGTGAGAGGAGAGAGGAAAGGACAAAAGGAGTAAGAAAGAGAGGAGCGAGCCCAGATGGAAGAGAGAGAAAACAGAAAATAATGAATGCTAATGTCACGAAAATTCCGGTGATTTCTGTGGAGATGGTTCTTTCACTTGACTTTCAATCCTAGGGTTGAGTGTCCCAGCCCGGCACTTACGTCATTTGCTAAGAAAAGAATCCACATTTGCCACTCTCCATCCAGGAGGTAAATGTGTACCTGGTAGGACTTTAATTGCTGGAGTAATTATTGCAGGGATCTCCAAAAAAAAGCATTGACGCTGATGAGGCTTTCCTCGGTAAATAAAATTCTTATTATTATTATTAATATTATTGTTATCGTCATCATCATGTTTTATTACTATTATTAATTTATTATCATAATCATTACTTCTTATTATTGTTGTTATAACCAGCTTTATTCTTACCGTCAAGGGAGGTTGTAAACCAAGCGGTTTGAGGAGTTTAGATGCCCACGGTCCTGGTGTAAGGATAACATTATTCGTCTTATATTCTCCTCGGCTTGTTTTGACTGTCACTATGGCTCCCGGTATGATGTCCTTTACTTTCTCTTCATCTTGTAAGCGTCCTCCGTATTTTATAAATAAGTCCTATGTAAATAAGATATATTAAAGAGTGGATACGTCACCGGACTGCGAATCACATGGTTCGTAGTTCGAGTCCCGCTACGGCCAGGGGCGTAGGTAAAGGAGGGGGGGGAAGTCCTGTCAGGATATTGTCGGTAGAATTGCGCTGCCGTCGGGAAAAATGAGAAAAGGGGGAGGAAAAAAATGAGAGGGAAAGGGAAAGAAAAGAGGAAAAAAGGAAAAGAAAGGAAAAGAAAGGAAAGAAAGGAAAAAAAAAGAAAAAGAAAGAAATGGAGAAAAGAAAAAAGAGAAGAAAAAAAATAATAAAATAAAATAAAAAGAAACATGGGGTGAAAGAGAGGGGGGGGGGGGGTAAGAGCCTGAGAAAGGAGGCGTGGGAGTAAAAGAGAGAGAGAGAGAAGGGGGTTTGTTGGGTGGAGTCGTCTCGTCGAGGAAGCAAGAAAATACCCATAGATATGTTGCTGTGTCGGGTCAGCTGTGTCGGTATTCTTCCTCGAGCCTCGTGTACTATATCAATGCAGAAATTTGAAGTCGATGAGATGTATAATGTCAGCAAAAGAAATCAGAGGTTTAATATTTTCCGGGAAACTAATTCAGCCAAAGATTAAGAGTCGAGAACAGTACAACGAATCATCTTCTTTCTCTGGTTGGAGGGGGGGGGGGGCTGCAGTCAGATAAGGATTAAGAGATGAGAACGGTATCAAACGAATGGTTTTCTTTCTCGATCTAATTATTAAATGAAACGTCATAGCTTCTGCGCAAAGCGTAGGAAGGGCGAAACAAGAATTAAGAGTCGGGAACAGTACAATGTATCGTCTTCTTTCTTTAATAATTTAATAATGGGGGGGGGGACTGAAAATAGTTTAGCTCCTGGCCCCGGGTTTATAGGGTTAAATTTGTAGACATTGGACATTGGGATTATATATTTGTCGGTAATTGTGGCTAGTTTTGTCGGTAATCAGTGGTCTCTACAACCCCCCCCCCCCCCCACACACCACACCACTGAAAAAGTTCTAGTGAAGCCCCTGGCTACGGCACTAAGGCGTCCTTTGGCAAGACATTAGTCTAATTAAGCTCAGATCCTCCTCTTTCATTTGATGCAACTCATAATGATGCATATTTCACGCATGAGTGATTAAAAATAATTTGAAGAGAGGAAACCAAAAAGTCTTTTGGCGGGCGATATCTGAATTTCAAAGAGAAAATCACATTTCTAGAAAGTTCAATTTCTGCCCTTTCATATGACACCCCAATCAGGAAAAATGAGCCAGGACTAACAAAGTTCTGTTTGTTTAAAATAGTGCTTGCAAGTCTTAACTCCGTTTCGTTGACGATCAGCCATGCATAAAGTATTTCGTCTTCTTTCTGCATTGCTGATCGTTGCCAGTTCTGGGTCATTTTTCCTGGTTGAGATGTCATATGAAAGGGCAGAAATTGAACTTTCTAGAAATTTCTTTGAAATTCAGATACTGCCCGCTAAATGACTTTTTGGTTTCCTCTCTTTGAATTGTTTTTTAATCACTCATGCGTGAAATATGCATCATTATGAGTTGCATTAAATGAAAGAGGAGGATCTAAGCCTTACAAATAATATGCGTCATTTATTAATTATAATTGTGATTAAGTTATGATAAAGCATCGATAATTATCGGTTTTCGTTTTTTCTGGGACGCACTGTACATAATACCTGGCAAGAGTCAAATCCATGAAATGCTAAAGCTCCATATTATGACAACAATGCTTAAGCCGGGGTAATAATAATTGTGAGGCGCCAATAGTGTCAAGTCTGACAGACATAAGCGCTTTACAAGAACCCACTACTACTAGTATAAAGTACCAATTTGCGTCCGTAAGGGTGCAGACCTCTGCTACACTAAGCCAGGCGCGGATCCAGGATTTCTTAGGGGGGGGGCCCAAATTTGAAATTATGCGAGCCAAATATTGGTACGTAATGGTGACCAACAGTGACGTAATGCGGGGTCGGTGCAGGGAGGGGCGGCCGGGTTTCCCCCTCCCCCTCCGCGAAACGCGGAAGCTTTTACGTTTCATTAAATCATTAGAGAAACAAAACGATTCGTTGCACAGTTCTCGAAAATAATTTTCGTCTGAATTTTGTTTTTCCCCTCTCGCGCGAAGCGCGAATTTTTTTAGGATTTATTAAATTATTAGAGAAAAAGATGATTCGTTGTAGAGTTCTCGACTCTAAATTCTCGTCTGAATTCAGGTTCCCCCCCCCCCCACCACGCGAAGCTTTTAAGTTTCCATAAATCATTAGAGAAAAAAGACGATTTGTTGTACCGTTTTCGAAAATAATCCTCGTCTGAATTTAGATTCTCCCCTCTCCCGCGCGAAGCGCGGAAGCTTTTACGTTTCATTAAATCATTAGAGAAACAAAACGATTATTCGTTGCACAGTTCTCGAAAATAATTCTCGTCTGAATTTAGTTTTTCCCCTCTCGCGCGAAGCGCGAAAATTTTTAGGATTTCAAATTATTAGAGAAAGAAGACGATTCGTTGTAGAGTTCTCGACTCTAAATTCTCGTCTGAATTCAGGTTTCCCCCCCCTTTTAAGTTTCCTTAAAGGCACACTGTCCTACTTGTAGCTACTTGCTCCCTCTATAAAACTTCCCCAATCGGTGCCTGTTATTCCCCATGATCCTCTCTTTCTTATGTTAAATGAGAGCTGAGTTAATGAGATAGCCACCTGTCACAGTGACCTCGCTGGCTCGCTGGGCGGTCTAATCCTTCTTGCTGAAGTAGTAAAGCCTACCTTTAAATCATTAGAGAAAAAAGACGATTCGTTGTACCGTTTTTTCGAAAATAATCCTCGTCTGAATTTAGATTCTTCCCCCTCCCGCGTGAAGCGCGGAAGCTTTCACGTTTCATTAAATCATTAGAGACACAAGATGATTCGTTGTACAGTTCTCGACTCTTAATCCTCGTCTGAATTTAGTTTACCCCCTCCCCCTCTCCTACGCGAAGCTCGGAAGCTTTGACGTTTCATTAAACTATTGAAGAAGAAAGCGATTCGCTGTACCGTTCTCGATTGTTAATCCTGTCTGGGGCGGCGGCGAAGCCGGCCCCGGAAGCTCAGAGGTTTTAGGCGTTTAATTAAGGTCATATGAGCATATATTTTTTTGTATACCTTATTATTTCGTGACACTGGCAGGTAACTATTTGGCGTTGGGTCCAGGGGGCGAAGCCCCCCAAAATCACGGGTTTTAGGCATTAAATTACCGTCAGATCAGCATCTAAGGGCCCGCCGTAGGGCCCTATAGGTGGGATCCAGGGGGCAGAGCCCACGGAAGCTTAGGGGTTTTAGGCATTTAATCACGGTCAGATGAGCATATTTTGATGCCTCATTATTTGTTAACACTGGCAGTTAACTATTTTTTCTTTCTTGCTCTCATTCTATTTTATTTCTCTTAACATACTTTTTCAGAAAAAGTGGGGGGGGGGGGGGGGAGCTCGAGGCTCCCGATCCCCTCCGTACTTCGGGCCCTGACATGTAGGAATCTCACGAATCATATTTCTTGCCTGGCTGCAAATTTAGGAATTTGTCATTTTCCAACAAACACATACAAACGTATAATTTACTAAAAGTGAGGAAAAATCTCGGAAATGATGTCATTTCAGCATTATTTGTAATCCCCTGTTGTGGAATTAGAAATAAACCACGTTTGAATTTGATTTCCACTAAGCCCCCCCCCCCCCTATCAGTACGCCAGTATCTCCTCTTTTCCTTTCCCTTTCCTTCCTTCTCTCTTAATTTTTATGGGGGGGGGGGGGGTCAACAGCCTGGGAGGCAAGGCCCTTTCGGCCCCCCGATCTCCTTCTTCCCCCTTTTCTTTTCTTCTTCCTCTTCTTTCTTTCCCTTTCTCTCCTCTTTCCCTTTCCCTTCTTTTCCTTTCTTCTCTCTCTTTTTTTTTTTTTTTTTTTTGCGGGGGGGGGGGGGGGGGCCAAGGCCCGCTCGGCCCCCCCCCTGGATCCGCGCCTGCACTAAGCAGCACCCGCACCCTAGAGGGGGCAAACTAGCATCTTAGACTTTAGGGGTGCAGCCATTTGCTACAAATTAAAGCAGCACCCCATAGGGTGTAATTCCGCGCCCCACTTTGGGGGACGCAATTCTGCACCCTACTTTTAGGTGTAAACTTGCCCCCCAGAGGGAGCAGATGTGCACCCTTAGCACTTAGCTTTATTTAAAATATAACAAGTAATAAGACTTGACCTCCTCTTCTACTTCTGATTAAGTCTGCCTCCTTCAAAATTATTGACTAAAGATTTTTTTTAAAACAGGATAAAGGGGTGTACTACGGACAACCGGACACATCAGGGTTTGGTCTTACACAGTGTAATACATGAGCTTCATGATATAATTGGGGGGGGGGGACATGCCCCCCTGTCCACCGCATGGTTGACGCCCATGAGCTATAGGTGTACACGTCGAGTCCGATTGCGTCTTTATTTTTAACCTAGGCAAGCCATCCTTTTAATTAATCAAAGCGGCTTGGAAAGAGGCCACAACCAATTAGACTTTGATTATTTTTTGCTTTGCCTCACTTTTTATAAAGGCAAAAATAGAGGGAATAAATACTGGGTTTCGAACCCACTACACTAGGATTATCGTACGCTGACCCTACCAACGATGGGCTGATGAAAGATGGGTTTGCATTATAATAACTCTAATTCTAACCCTGAGAGGGGTTGATAGTCTGTAGAAGATTTTTTGAATAATTATATTATGAAAAAGTGAAATCAATGACTAGTCAGGTGAACCTTTAAACTAAGTTAAACAAATATAGGAAATAAACTTAGGTCAAATTAAATGTTTAAAGTTTTAAAAGTTTCAGTTCATTTAGGCTTAGACCTACGATTGGCAAGAGTTTTTGCCTGCAAACTATAAGGTGGTAATGGTGGTGGTGGTGGATCGTGGAGGGGTGGGGGGGGGGGCTGATGATCTGTTATAAATGCAAATCTCTTACCTGATAGCACTTGAGTGCCTTGCTTGCTGAAAGTACCCCTGCCGCTTTATCGATGAAGGTGCTATAGTGTGGCTCATGTCTGTAATTAGGATATCTTCGCTGTCTCTCTTCATGACTGATTTCCTCGGCATATCTACCAAGGGTCTTTACATTGAATAATCTCCGATCGTAATTGTCTCTTCCTGGATCGGACATCACTAACATACCAGTTTTCCTAATTAAACAGATGGTGGATATCTAAATTTTAAGAAGGGTTCGCTCTTATCCTACGTGCCTACTTTTTCTGGCCTAGGATCGATCGATCAATGAATCATTTTAGTCAATCATCCAAAATCAATCAATCAATAAATCAATAAATCAATCCATCCAGCCACCAATCAGTCAATCAATTAATCAATCAATCCATCCAGCCACCAATCAGTCAATCAATAAATTAATCAATCAATCCATCCAACCACCAATCAGTCAATTAATTAATCAATCAATCCATCCAACCACTAATCAGTCAATCAATTAATCAGTCAATCCATCCAGCCACCAATCAGTCAATAAATTAATCAATCAATCCATCCAGCCACCAATCAGTCAATCAATTAATCAATCAATCCATCCAGCCACCAATCAGTCAATCAATTAATCAGTCAATCCATCCAGCCACCAATCAATCAATCAATTAATCAATCAATCCATCCAACTACCAATCAGTCAATCAATTAATCAATCAATCCATCCAGCCACCAATCAGTCAATCCATTAATCAGTCAATCCATCCAGCCAGCCACCAATCAGTCAATCAATTAATCAATCAATCCATCCAGCCACCAATCAGTCAATCAATTAATCAATCAATCCATCCAACCACCAATCAGTCAATCAATTAATCAATCAATCCATCCAACCACCAATCATTCAATCAATATTATTAATCAATCAATCCATCCAACCACCAATCAGTCAATCAATTAATCAATCAATCCATCCAACCACCAATCATTCAATCAATATTATTAATCAATCATCCATCCAACCACTCAGTCAATCAATTAATCAATCAATCCATCCAACCACCAATCATTCAATCAATATTATTAATCAATCAATCCATCCAGCCACCAATCATTCAATCAATTAATCAATCAATCCATCCAGCCACCAATCAGTCAATCAATTAATCAATCAATCCATCCAACCACCAATCATTCAATCAATATTATTAATCAATCAATCCATCCAGCCACCAATCAGTCAATCAATTAATCAGTCAATCCATCCAGCCACCAATCAGTCAATCATTTAATCAATCAGCCATCACAGAAGATAGATAGATAGTGGTGATTATTTTACCTGACAGCTAAGAAAGCAATAAATTCTTGTTAGTAAGCAACCAGAAGACCGACGGATTTAGGTCCTCTCTGAGGGACCTGGCAATAGCGCATCGACTTGATTTCGAACCCGGGTCACCGGATTACGTGACCACTGCTCTACCGACTGAGCTATCGCACCTCCAGAAACAATCAACCAATCCACCCATCTACCACCCACTCACTCACTCAATCAATCAATCATCCAATTAATCCATATAATCCATCAATTATCGTCAGTCTAATCAATCATCCAATCATCCTCCAATGAATCATCTAATCATTCAATCAATCTATCATCAGGTATAATGTCCCGAGGCCAGGGTTGGCAGTTTTGCTCCTCCATCTTATTTAATCTAATATTTCATTATTGATTTGTATTTATTCAGACATTCATTAAAAACCAAACATGGCTGGGGATGCAGCAAACAAGTTTTGAAAAACCTGTATAGGGCTGCATCCCTGATAAAAAATGATAACAGTAATTCAATAATACAAGACAAATGATTATAAAAACGAAATAAGAAACAAATACATATAGGTAAAATAGTTATGGAGGTAAATATGAATAAAACAAACAATCAGATTTTATAGCATGTAAACTTTCTACTGGATACAGTAAATTATTACAATTACTGAAATTAAATTATTAAAGAGTTGAGTATAAAATTGTGCGGAGGTGTCATTATCAGGTGATATTATTAGGGAAAACTTACTTTATTTGACCAAGTCCCCCCCCCCCAAAAAAAAAAAATAATAATAAATAAATAAATAAATAAAAAATAAAATAAAATAAATAAATAAAAAATAATAATAAATAATAATAATACAAAAATCTTGGATACGACACTGCCCCATCCTACCCACCTACCCACTCTAGGAGAAGCTGGGTACTTAATTAAAGTCATAATTGGCTAGCAGAAACAAATGCTTAATGATACATTTAAATACATTCTAATCTATCAGCAATCTAATATGGCACCCATGAGCTGATTTAGGGGGGGGGGTGGTCCTCTTTTAAACCATAAGAATACCAAATAAATACGCCTGTTGTTACGTTTTGTCCCCCTCACTCAAGGCTTGTATTTTTTTGTTAAAGATTTTCGGCATTGCGACCCCCCCCCCCTCCCCCCCCCCCCCCCCCCCATCGAGAGAAAATCCTGGATCATCCCCTGATTGTATGCTTATAGGCTGTATACAGTACCTGTAAAGTTTTGTATTTGTCTCTACTTCAAGCTGAGCCCAAAGTGGGTAAGCCTCTTCCATCATTTTAGCATAGTGTTCCTCGGCGTAGGCATAGCGTATTACCCGGCCACCTCCGTGGGAGCTGCTTCGAGAGTGTGGCAGAGCGAACTATAATTATATAGGGAGTTAATAATAAAATATTGATGAAATATCGTTTCGCTCAACCTATTCAAACTAATGACTTTAAAATATAGAAGTGAAGAATATAGATATAGGCCTACTTCGTTCCATCCGGACTTAATTCGCGTCGGTCGGGTAATCGCGGTACATAAATACGGGATTATCCGACCCGATCCGACGTGAATAACCGATGGTTCGAAGGCCATAATTATAATACAAGATTTAACGGTTGCTGATTTGGACGAATGAATCTAGAGTCGGACGCTCTTCAAGCATTCAAGTCGGAGAATTTAATTGTAAAGAAAACTGGGTAATCAACAACGTAAATATTGATTTTAATGAACATAAAATAATAAGAGATATGATAAGGGATACTGTTAGAAAATACAATTCGGAAATATAAAAAGTTAATTTTTTTTTTTTTTTTAAATCTTTTTGGTATATCTAGACCAGCAGGATAGTGAAATAATTGTTGTTTCTTTAAAGGTAATACAAAGTTTTGGGAAATTTTGAAAATTGGATGGATAGTGACTCTTAACCATTTTGATATATTTGGATGCCCCTGTGGATGTATTATAAGCACTAGAAAATGTATCCCCTAAAACAGTTCTGCTTCTGAGAAAAATTGAATATAAAAATGCGATCCTACAATATTGAGTGATCGTTGTGCTCCTGTTAAATTTAGATAAATTTCAAATAGCGTCTACGGCCGTACAATGGTAGCTGCGACCATGAAACTCTCAGAATATGTAGTTGTGATATAGAATTTCCCAACGGGAATAGCCAATCGGTCGATTTTTAGTCAAGAAACATTGTTTTATAGTGTAATTAATATCTTGAACTTGAGAGTAAGCTATACAACATAAAGAGTTTATTATTTACAATTTCATAACTTTATACTCGATTTCAAGCGCGAGAACGATCACTCAATATTGTAGGATCGCATATGCTTCCAATATGTTCATTTGAACCAAATGTATGACCCCATACCAAAACTTTGTATTACCTTTAAAGGTATAGACCAGTTTTGGAAACGCACCCCTCTCAAAAAATTAAATGGAAGCTCTTATTACCAATCATGTGAAAGAATTTGTTTTGACTAATACGTGATGATACAAATTTGGCCGGGAAAACGCCTACTATAACAAGCCAGTTCACGGTCGCAGTCTGAGCATGAGCAGATAAAGGTCATTGCAGGACAAATTGTGAAATACATGGAGACAAAATACTGGATACGTGCTAATGAAATTGATGTAATCATTATTCATTAATGCACAAGCAGATACACAGGTGGAAGTATTCTTTGAAAAGGGGAAACAAAGGCTGTTTATGTAGCACCTCAATCGCTGTAGGATTGATTATTTCAAAATGTACAAAGTGGGACCTCTTCATGTTTTGAAGATCTGTGGATATTCGGGGTCATTTGGGACATGTGCTAACCGTGAACTGGTCCATTGATATATTTACTAAATTATCATATCTATCCGGTCTGGATAGATATCGCGTAGTCCCATATACATCTTTCTGTGTACAGTGCTTGTAACTTTACCAAGACTAGGCCAAATTTCTTATCATTTTGATGATTCCAGAACCTTGCAGTACACACCAATACTTATATGCTAGATGATCAACCTTTTCTGATTGATTCCATAACGTCTCTTTCACAATGCAATTGCATGACCAGAACTGGTCCATACCTTTAAATAAAAGCAGGAAACCTGACCTATATTGATATATATTTTATATTCTGAATTATTCTGCATATGGCGCTAAGTAAACTTCAAGCCCTGAGGTCCCGTTGCGCCCAATTATTTGAATGGCTACGGCACGGTATCTTTCTTTCATACAATCAGTCCACATGAATTAAATCAAACATAATTTCTGCATGCTTTGCATGTGCACTTCATTTTAAATTGATTTTGCATCTTCTTTCATATTTTATTTTAAATAATACTGTATTGTAATCTTAATTGTAGTCTTAAATAAATTCTCTTGTTAGTGTGAGTGTTGATGATGTGTGATTTCCCATTTCCCTTCTCCTCTCTTTCTAACTTAGACCTTAACAATCTGTTCAATACAATTACTATTAACCCTGTTGACCACGTACGTAACTTACCTAACCAAATATCCCATGATGATTTTGTTTACGATGACAATGATGATATTATGAATGATGATATTGATCCCGACAGGAACTTCAATCTGTTTGATATTTGTAATAAATACTGGTTGGCAAAAGATTTTAATGCAAACTCTGAGTTTCAACATGGCGATATTTTCAACCTGCTTCATTTTAATTCGCGTAGTTTATATAAGAACTTTGATTCTATTCATGTTTTTATTTGCCAGTTAGACCAAGAAATATCTGTATATGAATTTAGTGAAACGTGGATCCACAGCAATACTCCAGTTTCATTATTCAATCTCAGTGGGTATACTTTTTTTCATAATGATAGGGGAAAATGTAGAGGCGGTGATGTCGCAATGCTTGTGCAAAATTCTCTGAATGTGGTTGTAAGACAGGATTTGTGTTTGTTAGTGGCAATTTGTGAAACACTCTTTCTTGAAATTTATATGCAAAACAAAAGAAATGTTATCATTGCTGTTGTATATAGAGATCCCCATACAATTTTGAACAATTTAATTGTGAAATTGATGCTTGTTTTAATACAGAAACAGGAGAAGGAAAATAAAGACGTCTACACTATGGGTGATCTTAATATTAACTTGCTGAATTCTTCTACTGTAAATCAGGTTAATGACTTTGTAAATATTTTGTATAATAAATCATATCGTCCATTGATTGATAAGCCTACACGTATTTGTAAATCATCGACAACGCTTATAGATAATATATTTATGAATGTTTGCAGTAAAGATATTAGTTCTGGTATATTTTATAACGATATAACAAACCATTTGCCAATTTTTTCTATTACTTAAAATAATCTCAAAGAAAATAGAAATACTAATGCTAATAAATCCAGAAGATGTCTTAACTCTACTGCTATTGATTCTATAAGAAAAGAGTTAATTCATCTTGATTGGTATGATATTGTTCAGTTTAATAATTTTGAATTCGCATATGATCATTTTTTTGAATAAGTTTAATGATGCTGTTAGTAATAAACGCTCGAAAGGTGATCATAAAAAGAATTCTTCACCAAGAAAATCATGGATTAATTTTTCTTTATTAAGATGTATCAATAAAAAGAAAAAGTAATCCATGATTTTCTTTATAAAGAATATTGTAAACACGCAATGATACATGTCATAATAAATTCAAAAGGTACCGAAATGTACTGAATCGTGAGCTGAAAGCTGTTTGTGAAAAATACTTTTATGACTTACTACAAATTAATAAAAATAATCTTTGGCAAATTATTCATGAGCTAATTTGGAAAAGTAAGCAAGATAAACTCCCCACTTTTTAATGACAAATGATGTTAAAATAGGAAATGACAATGATATTGCTGAAGAATTCAATTAGTATTTTTCAAGCATTGCTTCTCTTGCTCAATCTAAGTTTAATCAATAACCGAAAACTCACTTTAGTTATTTTCTTAGCCATTATTGCAATAAGTCAATCTATTCGTACCCAACATGTGAAATAGAATTAATTAATGTTGTTTTAAAAAATGTAAAATTCTAAGAGTGCAAGGTTTGATGACATTAACATACGTTATTAAGAAAGTTATTCACCCAATTGCTGTTCCCTTGGTTCATATTATTAATTTATCTATATGCACTGGCTCTGTCCCAAACAAAATGAAAATTGGTAGAATAGTGTACTATAAACTACCGTATTTTGGAATTCGTAGTGTAGTTTTAGACTGTTTAAAAAATATTTACAGAATAGGTCCCAATATACAAGGTATAATAATTTTGATTCATCTCTTTCCAAGGTTGAATGCGGAATTCCACGGGATCCATACTCGGTCCCTTGCTATTCTTGCTGTATATTAATGATTTGTGTAATGTTACTTTGTTTTTCATTTTGTTTTATTTGCTGATGATACCAATATCATTTCTTCACATAAAGACTTTAATACACTCCTACATAAGACTAACGAAGAGTTAAGCAAAGTAGTTCACTGGTTTGATTCCAATAAGTTAGTAATTAATCATGATAAAACATATATTTTGTATTTCTCTAAACCGAATATTAAGTTTCCTCCTCATACAATCAAGTTAGAATTAATGATATATGCTTGAATTTTCTGACTCCGGGAAATTTCTTGGAGTTTAATTGGACAATCAACTTACTTTTCAAGACCATCGTATATACTAAAAAATATCTCTCTTAATTTTGTTTTTTTAATCGGAATTATCTGTAAATTGCGTTCTATTCTACCCCCAAAACATCTATTCATGCTATATAATTCACTTATACTTCCTTTTATTCATTATTGTAACATTACCTGGGCCGAAGTTGGGAAAAACAAATTAGAACCATTTCATAAATTACAGAAAAAAAGCCTTATTAAGCGCCATTTCGCCCCCCTTTTTTTAATCCAAAACATTTAATATTTATCATATATATATGAATTTAAAGTTGCAGTATTGATGTATCAAGTCAAACATAAAATCGCTCCAGCCAATATAAATAATTTATTTAACTTTAATAGTGATTTTCATCAGTATTACACACGTTCAGCTTCCCAATTTCACCTTCCTATAGGACCAAAGATTTTTAATAATTTTAATTTAATCATTCGTCCCTGTTCAACAGCCTCCTCCTTCAAAGTCTTACCTACAAGTCACTTTATTGATACATATACATCTTGATTTCCATATATTTTAAACAATTGTTTTACCTCATATGTACACTGTCATGTAATCTCTCTTTCTCCGTCCATGAATGGACGGAGAAAGAGAGATTACATGACAGTGTACATATGAGGTAAAACAATTGTTTTACATACTCATACACTCACCCTCTTTACTTCATTAACAAGGTAAATTACCTTGTTAATGAAGTAAAGAGGGTGAGTGTTTGAGTGTGTGTGTGCGGGTGTTTGTGTGTGTTACGTGTGTCTGCTTGTGATTATTAATGTTTTACTTGTAATTTGTTAATTTTGTAAAAGGGCATGCACCAGTCCACAAGATCTTGATCTTTTTGGTTGCCCCTAACGATATGTTAACTTTATAGATGATTATGTCAACATATTCTATTGTATTATACTATTTTTTAAATTTGTATATCGTTGAATAAATGAATTTCATTTAGTTTAATATGATTGTTATGTCAAGTAGGCCTATAATTTCAGATTTCCCAGCCTCAAAATTCGGATAAATGATTTAGGTGTACATTGTCTAATAAAGGGTCATCCCATATGTCAAAAAAGCAGTTACAGAACTGTTACATAATATAAGTAAAATGTTTCTATATAATTGTGTTCAAAGATAACGGTTTTTTAAATCATTTTTTGTTTGTTATGCCGCAGGTGCCTATCGTGACAAAAAGTCCAAAATAATATGTAAATGTCTCCTCAGCCCCCCCCCCCTCTCTCTCTCCCCACTCCCTTCCCTCTCTCACTTCCCCCTTTTTCTCTTTCTCTCCCCATCCCACTTTCTCTGTGTTTTTCTCTCTTTCTCTCTTCCAATAATTACCGTTATGTTACTAACCTGTTCGAGGAGAAGGGTGTCCAATCCATGTTTGGCACACCAGTAGGCCGTAGATGACCCCTCTATTCCTGCCCCAACCACTACCACGTCCAAGGTAGCCATGCGATCAAAATGTAGTCCTATATAGGTTTTTATCACAGCAAACGCATAATCATAGAATACAAATGTGAACGTGTACTTGAAATGATCGAAGGTTGTGTATAATTCTCTACTATATACTGTAGATGTATTTTCATTGGTACGCTCGAAAAAGGAAGACAGGGCTAGATTTCCAGCTTTGTTGTATAACGCCAACGATATGCCAGTTGAGTAATTCTATTCAAACTGTAAGTAGAATAAAAATAAATATCCTCAGAAATCTGTACGTCAGTATGCAATTATCCTGTAATGTATAATCAAAAGCATTGAATTGCAATCCTTTAGAAGTCTTTACTCTATATCCAAAAGCTCTCAGAAAGCCTAAACCCCCATTAAACTCTATGTCAAAATAACATATCTTTACAGAAATACTGCTCTCTTAAAAAAACAGTAATCAAGGTCCCCGGTCTAGATAAATTCCTAGTCAAGACGACCTTTAAAGGTAATACAAAGTTTAGGTATGGGGTCATGAATTTGTTTCAAATGAACATATTGGAAGCATATGCGATCCTACAATATTCAGTGATCGTTGTCGCGCTTGAAATCGAGTATAAAGTTATGAAATTGTAAATAATAAACTCTTTATGTTGACAACATATACAATGTATAGCTCACTCTCAAGTTCAAGATATTAATTAAGCTATAAAACAATTTTTCTTGACTAAAATCGACCGATGGGCTATTCCCGTTGGGAAATTCTATATCACAACTACATATTCTGAGATTTTCATACCTTTGTACGGCTCTAAGTGCTATTTGAAATTTATCAAAATTTACCGGGAGCACCGGTAATTTTTATATTCAATTTTTCTCTGAAGCAGAATTGTCTCAGGGGCTAAATTTTCTAGTGCTTATAATACATCCACAGGAGCATCCAAATATATCAAAATTTTCAAAATTTACCAAAACTTTGTATTACCTTTAAATTATGCTTAATAAATAAAATCCCATCTTACTTAAAGTATGTCAATCTTGTCTCTCTTATTTAGACTCATTGAACTTTCAATTTTATCAAAGATCTTTAAAACCTGACTGTATCTCGGTCCTTTTCTTTCATAACTCTTATTTATCTGACATTTATTTCATATGTCAACACCAACATTCGTCAACTAAAACAACCTTAAACTAGACTTTAATTCGTCACTTTGACGAATTAGGTGATACGTATGCTAATGGTTTACATAATAAAGAATGCATTATACGATATCATATTATTTTATGAAATGCTTCATCCATTAAGATCTATCCATATGTCAAGTTTAAATTGTGTCCCCTTGATCATTATAGATGTAGGGAAGATAGATTGAAAAATATGACCATTGACCCTGCGCAGTAACCAGTTACACCTTTGATTCTAATTTATATCACGAAGAACACATTTTGACGATTTTATCTTATTCAAAGAAATGAAATGTAATTGATAAATGATTATCATCATTATGATATTGATGATCATGATAATCATGATGAAGATCATGATCATGAGCGGATCCTGACATCTTATTGAAAAAATGAGGGGTGATTTAGATAGCACATAGCACAAAATCCAAGCAGAAATAACAGCGATATTGCTCGCAAAAGACAGGAATGTAGAATCCAGATTTGAGAAAAAAATTATCTCCCACAGGGATTACACGCAAAAAGTAATGGATTAAGTGAAAAAGGGAAACACTAAAGTAAATAGGGTTGTTTATTACATTATTTGCGATTCTACGTGTTTAAATAATCAAGGAGATGGTACAGTGAAAGGTCAAAAGGAAAAAAAAAGGTGGAGAAAAAATTGTTGAGACACACCCGGACTCGAACCCGGATCTCAAGGTCGGAAGTCAAGTGCGTTACCCATATACCAAAACATTTCTCATAGCGATTACACGTAAACGAAATGGAATTCTAAAATCCCACTTTGCAAGTAAAATATGAGCATGATCCGGCATATGATCGAAAAATGAAGTCACATTGGAGATAGCTCATTGTCTCAGCTACAACATATCCGAAGCTCACGGAAAACAAAGTTAAAAAAACGGAGATGTTGCTCGCGAAAGACGGAAATGTAGAATGCAGTTTTGAGAATAGTCATGTCCCATAGACAATACACGCAAAATTTGAAAAATTGACATGCCTCCTTTAATTGCAAAAATACGCCATGATACCTTTGTCAAACTGGACAATTATGTACACTGCATTTGTAGAAAATTGTCTCAGCTAGAACATATCAAAATTTGAAAGAAAAAAAAGCAATATTTACAGAGATACAATCAATTTTCCAAAATATGCATCCGTCATAATATGCAAATTTAAATTTCGACTTCGGAGGCCATTATGATGACATTATGAGTTAATTGAGAGTCAAATGAGACATGAAATCATATTTCCATTTCATAATCTATCCACATATGAAAGAATATTGGGAGTTTCTATCTATTCTGAAGAGTTACAATGAATTTTGTATAGGCATTTTTTTGCCCATGTATTGTGGATAAAGATCACGCAAATCCGCGCGTGCTGTCAACTTTGACGGACGCTCATTGCGTTATTAAAAGTGAACAAATTATCAAAATGCTTGGAAAATGTACAAAATACGATGACGGAGAAAATATTGGGATTCTATGTTGCAAAATGCTAGTACGCGCAAAAACGCGCGCGCATGCGCGTGAGCGAGATTTTTTGTCAAATGCTCTATATGGCCTTAAACGTATGCAAAAAAAATTTGGGATGATTTAGAGCATTTTAAATTTTTAAGCGCGCGTAAACGCGCGCACCTACGCGTACGCGCATTTTTACGCGCATATATTGTCCTCAAATTGACTGGGCGGATATTGACTTTGATCATGACAAATATGAATGAGAAATGGCTTTCCGTTATGAAGATATGATCATAAGTTGATTTTAACAAAATGGCGTCTAGATGACGTCACGATAATTTTGAGTCTTTGAAAAGTCACGCAGTTCTAAGTTAGACTAAGATCTATCATCATTGAAAGTTTCATGGCAATGGCTTTATTCAGTCTTGAGATATCCTGCGAACAAAATCGAGGAAGAATAATAATAATAATAATAAATAATAATAATAAAATCTTGACGAAATCAAAAGGTGATACGTAGACTTCGTTACGTATCACCTAATAAATCTCTGACTAATGTCATTATTACTCTGTATTTTCATAAACACAAAATCCTTCTTTATAAAATGTGTAAATTGAACACTAAATGAATACGGTAGGCCTTCGTACTTTCAATGTAACCCAGGCGCGGATCCAGGTGGCCGAGCGGGCCTTGCTCCCCCCCCCCCCCCCCCCCCCGCAACAAAGAGAGAGAGATAGAGAGAGCGAATGACGGGAAGGGGAAGGGAAAGAGGAGAGAGAGAGAGGGAAAGAAAGAAGAGGAAGATGAAAAGAAGGGGGAAGAAGGCGATCGGGGGCCGAGGGGCCTCATCTCCCAGGCTGTTGCCTCCCCCCCCCCCCCCCCATCAACGAAATAAGAGAGAAGGAATGAAAGGGAAAGAAAAAAGGAAAAGAGGAGATAAAGGGAAGGGAAAATAGAGGAAGAAGAAAAGAAAAGAAGGTGGATATCAGTTGCAATTTTCCCGCCAACAACGTGTGGATTGGGTGGGGGGCCGAAAGGCCCTTGCTTCCCCCCCCCCCCCCCCAAAACCTAAATGAGAGAGAAGGAAGGGAAGGGGAAGGGAAAGAGGAGAGAAAGGGAAAAGAAAGAGAAAGAGAAAGAAGGAAGGTAGGGGAAATCAGTTTCCCCGCCAACAAGGTGTAGATTCTGGGGGGGGGGGCTTGAGGAGGCATCCCCCCCCCCCCCCCCCGCAATACAATTCGCTACCGTGATTTACAAATGTTGCTGAAATGATGTAGTTTCCGAGATGTTTCCTCACTTTTTAGTAAAATATACTTTTGTATGCATTTGTTGGAAATGACAAATTCCTAAATTTACAGTCAGGCAAGAATGCTTATTTAGAGGCCTACAGTCATGTCAGAGCCCCGAAACGGCGGGAATCGGGGCCTCGAGCTCCCCCTACTCCGCCCCCTGGACCCCACGCCAATAAGTGTCCTGCCAGTGTCACAAATAAAGTATAAAAAAATGTTCATCTGACCGTAATAAAACGTTTTAAACCCCTGAGCCTCCGGGGGCTCTGCCCCTGGACCCACCCAACGGCCCTTAGGGGGCCCCTGGATAGTAATCAGCCGTACTTAAATGCCTAAAAACTCTTGAGCTTCCAGTGTTCTGCCAGTGTCACAAAAAATCAATAAGGTATCAAAATATGCTCATCTGACCGTAATTAAATGCCAAAGATTCCTGAACTTCCGGTGGCTATGCCCCCTCGACCTCACCTATGGCTCTAAGGTCGGCCCCTGGATACTTATCTGACCGTAATTAATACCTAAAACCTCTCTATTTGCGGGGCCTCCGCCCCCTCGACCCCACCAAGGGTTCTAAGGCGGGCCCCTGAATGCTTATTTGGCCGTTATAAAATGCCCTTGCCCCTGGACCCACCCAACGGCCCTTAGGGGCCCCCTGGATAGTAATCAGCCGTACTTAAATGCCTAAAAACTCTTGAGCTTCCAGTGTCCTGCCAGTGTCACAAAAAATCAATAAGGTATCAAAATATGTTCATCTGACTGTAATTAAATTCCTAAAACCCCTGAGCTTCCAAGGGCTCTGCCCCTTGAACCAAAACAAGGGACCTAAGGCGGCCCCTGGATACTTATCTGACCGTAATTAATACTAAAACCTCTCTATTTGCCGGGCCTCCGCCCCCTCGACCCCACCAAGGGTTCTAAGGCGGCCCCTGAATGCTTATTTGGCCGTTATAAATGTGTTACACCCCTGATCATCTGGCGGCTCCAACTCCTGGACCCCACGCCATTCATTAGTGTCGTGCCAGTGTCACAAATGAGGTATAAAAATATGCTCATCTAACTGTAATTAAATTGCCTAAAAGACTTGAGTTTCCGGGGGCTCTGTCCGCTAGACCCCACCAAGGGTCCTAAGGCGGGCCCCTAGATCAGGCGCGTAGCCACGGGGGGGCACGGGGGGGCACGTGCCCCCCCTAAATTTCCAAG